ATCCAGGCCCTGCCATTCGAACTTGGCCTTGAAAGAAGAGGTAGGATTGGAGAAATCCTAGAGTCCTCCACGAACAGGGCAGTGATGTAGGCTCTAGCGTCAGGACTGGAGTTTGTAGCCTGGCTCTGGGTTCTACTTAACCTATCTGTGCCTCTCTCTCTCCACCCACCTCCAAAGCATCGTGAGTACGAAATGTGTGAAGTGATCAGAAGAGCGCCCGAGACATCGACAATCACTCAAGATGCGAGCTATTATTACCTCCGAGTTTCTTTCTAAATGTGGTGCACAAGACAATTTTAGCTAGCATATATACATTTTTTATTTGAACAGTGCTGAATTTATTTTCAGGCTGTGGTTTTGCTAATGCTATGGCTCAGGGCAAGGATACCTAGAAAAGGGAATTGATTTAAAGTTAATTTTAAAGAAGTCAATAAAATAAAATAAAAGTCAATTAAAATATATAATCTAGGTGGAATGTGAATATGGACGAAAAGCATGAAGGTAATGCCTGCATGGTTAAAACTTTTGGAAAATAATCTGTGACTTATCCCGCTAATAAGACCTTCTAAGGCAGGTGAGTGGAGAACGAGGCATGGAAGACACCGACCAGGCGCTATCAAAACCTTACCTCTTTCCCATCCCCCTGTAACCACTATTCCGTTCTTGGCAAATCCGGTATGAGGGCCCAGGCAAATGAGGCTTGACTGCGTTTATGAGTTTTGGAACCCCATCAGCACTGTGGATTGTGGGGTCTGGGGGAAGGGAAGCTGAATCCAAAGACCCAGCTCGGGAAACCCAAATCCAGCTCCCCAACTTCGCTTTCCAGGCGCGTTTGGGACGATTCGGGTGTCTCTGATTTTTTTTGGATCACTGGGTCAATCAGTCAGCCAATGCCTCGGGAGAAGTTTAATTAAGCTCAGATCACAGGAAGAGCTGCCAAAGGTCTGTTCCCGTCGGGCCCCGCCCCTTGCTGGCCCCGCCCCCGGCACATCTGGTGGAAAGCTTCCCCCCGCCCTGCGGGGCAGGGCCGTGGTCCGCGCATGCGCATTGGCGAGCGCCCGGCTGCCGGCAGTAAGGCTCGACTCCCAGAACCGCGTTGCAAACTGTTGCATCAGACTGCAAGCAGCCAGCCGGGCAGCCAGGGTTTCTAAGAAGACAGAAAAGGTTTGAGGTCCTCTGTGGTCGCTTGGGAGCGTTGGCTGTCACTCACTGTGTTTACACGTTGGTAACACGAGCTCCTAAAATCTTAAGCTTGTGCCCTCCTGGGGAGGGCCTTTGCCCCAGGTGAAATTCGATAAACTCTCCTGCTCCTGTTCCTACCCCAGGTCCGGCCCCAGGCTGGACCAACTGAGCTGGACTCTGTCTGCCTTATTAATGGCATGAGCCCTGAAGGAATGAGCTGGGTTTGATTTCTCTTCCCAAGTACAAGAATGCCCCTGAGGAATTTCTCACTCTGTGAAAGTGCAAAACTAATTTCCCCAGACAAGTGCTGTTGCTGGTTCCCAAAAGGGCTTGGAAATATC